TATTCTCGGGAATATCCTCCCTAAGTACAGCTGTAATGTTATCCCAAATCTAAAACACGACTCCCCTTCCTCTTCTGCCCCCTTTTCTATCCTTCCTCTAGCATCTGTACCCTGGAACATTAAGCTGCCAGTCCTGTCCATCCCTGAGCCATGTCTCTGCAATCGCCAATAATATCCCAGTCCCATATTCCCAACCCTACCCGGAGTTCATCTACCTTACCTGTTAAGCCTCTTGCACTGAAATAAATGCAGTTTAATTTATCAGTCCTACCTCATTCTCTGCTTTGTTACCACTTGGCCTGACTGTTTGAGTTGCTCCTTTTCCCAACTGCACCAGTCTCAGGCTGATCTCTTTCCTCACTACCTTTACCACACACCCCCCCCCCACCAACCACTAGTTTAAATCCTCCCAAGCACCTCAAGCAAATCTCTCTGCCAGTATATTAGTCTCCTTTCAATTCAGGTGCAATCCATCCTTCTTATACAGGTCACTTCTACGCTAGAAGAAATTCCAATGATCCAAAAGTGTGAATCCTTCTCCCTTGCACCAGCTCCTCAGTCACGCATTCATCTGCTCTATCTTCCTATTCCTACCCTCAATAGCTTGTGGCACTAGGAGTGATCCAGATATTACTACCCCTGAGGCCTTCCTTTTTTAAATTTCTAACTTCCTATATTCTCTCCTCAGAATCTCACCCTTTTCCCTCCTATGTTGTTAGTTCCAATATGTACAACGACCTCCTGCTGGTCCTTCTCTCCTTTGAGAATATTCTGCACCCTCTCAAATATATCCTTGATCCTGGCACCAGGGAGGCAACACACCATTCTGATGCCTCGCTGTCGGCTGCAGAATCGTCTTTCTGTGCCTCTGACTAGAGGGTCCCCTATCACAATTGGTTGCTTGGAACCCGATGTACCCATCATTATATTAGAGCCAGACTCGTTACCAGAACCCTGGCTCCATGCTACGTTCCTGAGAGTCCTTCACCCCCTACATCGTTCAAGATAGGGACTCCTGCACTACCTGCCTTCCTCTCCTACCTTTCCTGGAGGTCACCCATCTACCGGACTGTATCTGCGGTTTTTCTCCCTTCCTGCAACTGCCATCCATCACTAGTTCCTGTAAATTCCTCATAGCCTGTAACTGCTGCTCCGACCGATCTATGTGACCCGATAGGATTTGCAACCGCACTTCCTGCAGACATAACCATCAGTAACATGGAAACTCTCCCTAATTTCCCACATCTGACAGGAAGAGCACATCACCGAATGAAAGGCCATCTTTGCACCTTAACAATTTACAGAGACAGAAAACAGCCCAGTCTTACTGCTCTAAAAACACTGCTCCAGGCTAACCTTGTGCCTATGTTTTATGTTTTTAATCAAGAGACAAATCTCAATAAATACATGGAATCAAAAAAAAAACCCACTCTACTCACTAATATAGATTTACAAAAGATGACAATAAGGTCGCATAGTTTGTTATCTGTCTCCCTCCCTTCTTGAACAGAGGGATTTCCTAAATCAAGGGAATTTTGGAAAATCCACACCAATGAATGTTCTACCCTTCTTTTAAGATCCTCGGATGAAGTCCATCTGAACCCAGGGACTTGTTGCAGATCCATCCATTTGCTTCATATCACTTCCTTCAAGTTACTCTCCCTTCCACCTCCTGATTTATCGCTATTATTGAAATTGTTTTCTATCCTCTACAGTGAAGGCAGTGCAAAATATTTGTTCATTCTGCCACTTCCTTATCATTTATTATTAACTCCCCGTTCTCGCTCTCTCTTGTGAACCAACATTCACTTTAGCTACTTTTTTCCATTTTAAGTATGTGTAGAAGCCTTTGCTATTCATTTTTACATTTGTAGATAACTTCCTCTCATACTCTAATTTCTTGCTGACTAGCTCTTTAGTAATTCTCTGCTTTTTATTTTCTGACCCATCATCTGACCTGCAATTCATTATTATACAGTTATATATGTTTTCTTTAATTTTGATCATTTCTCTAACTTTTATTTATTCACACATGGGATATTGACGACATTGGTCAGGCCAGCATTTATTGTCCATCTAGTTTGCCTTGTGAAGTTAGTGATTAGCTGCCTTCTCGAAAAGTGTGCAAGGTACATATATGTGGGTATATGTACATTTATAAAACCACTAAAGGGGAGTAATAGGATTTTTGATCTAGCAACGCTGAAGAACTGCAATATATAGACTCAGAATCCTTGCAGTGCAGATAAAGGCCATTTGGTCCATCACGTCTGCACTGACCCTTCGAACAGCATCCTATCCAGATTGTAACCTGATATTTACCAAGGTTAACTCACATAGCCTGCACATCTGAGCACTACGGGGCAATTTAGCACAGCTAATCCACCTAATTGCATATCTTTGGATTGTGAGGAAAACAGGGCACCTGGAGGTAACCCAGGCAGACACAGAGAGAGTGTGCACATAGGCAGTGGCTCAAGGCTGGAATCAAACTCTGGTCCCTGGCATTGTAAGGCAGCAGTGCTAACAACTGTGCTACTATGCCACCCTTATTTCCAAGTAAGGGTGGTTAGTGACTTGGAGGGACTCTTGCAGACGGCAGCATTCCCATGTACCTGCTGTTCTTGTCCTTCTGGTCACAGGTTTGGAAGGTGCTGTATAAGGAGCTTCGGTGAATTTCTGCATTGTATTTTGTAGATCATACACACGTGCTACTGAGCGTTGGTAGTGGAGGGATTGGATGTTCATGGATGTGGTACCAATCTAGTGGGCTGCTGCGTCCTAGATGTGTCAAAGCTTTTTAAGTTTTATTCAAACTTTACTTATCCAGGAAAATAGGGTGAAATATTCCATTATATTCCTTGTAGATGCTGGACAGGCTTTGGGGAGTCAGAAGCTGAGTCATACACTGCAGGATTCCTAGCCTCTGACTTGCTCTTGTAACCAGAGAATTCATATGGCTCGTTCATTTCTATTTCTGGTCAGTAGTAACCCCAGGATTGTTGATGGTGTATGATTCAGTGATGATTATACCATCTCTACTTCTCCAATATGTAATCACAAGAATTCCAGTCCCAACACTGTCGAGGTATCGACCATCCCAATGGTAGACCCCCTGAATTTACCTGGTACTGGTGCCAATGCCCCACGAACTTGAACCCACTTCTTCTGCACTGGTCTTTAAGCCATACATTTATTGCTCTAATTTTATGTACCTTCTGCCAATTTGCATGTAGCTCAGGTAACAATCCAGAGATTTAAACTTCGAGGTTCTGTTTAATTTCACATCTGGTCCCTCAGTCACCATGTAAAATCCATCTGATATAGTACCTTATCAACTGGTTTCTGGATATCGAAATACTACTACTACTACTACTACTGGATATCTACTGACTTTTCCTAATTACCTCGAGATTTTCTAATTGCACGGCTATTATGTCTTAAATGATTGATTCTAACAACTTTTTCAAAACAAATGTCAAGCTAATTGGCATATGGTTTCCTGTTTTCTGCTCAACCCTTCTTGAATAGAGAGGTTTCCTGAATCAGGGGAATTTTGGAAAACAATGCAAAACCCGTTTCCTTGTTCCAATTATATTGTTGGTATCTATATAGACTGCAACAACTAAATCCTCCTCAAACCACTGCAAGTTTCTTTCAGCTCTAAGCAGATGTCCCGAATCCTAGCACAACACAGACAATGCTGCCTGGAAGCTCGTTCTTTGCTGCAAAGAACAGTGTCAGTTCACTTCACTATTCTATCACCTACTATCACTACATTCCTTGTTCATCCCCCAATTTAATTTGCTTCATGTACCACAGGTCTATGGGCAGTTTGCTCTTAGTAGTCCATACTCGCATTCAAATTGACTGGGAGATCAAACTGCAGAAGCTGACACTCCTGTACTCTGGATCCCCTTAATTGCCTCACATGCAGTCACATCCCCCTGTCACTGACCACTGATCAAATTCAGAAGATCTTTTCTTAAGTGGCATGACTACCTCCTCATACAAAAATCCAGGAAATTTTCCCTTTCCCTGATGGTCAGTGTGGTTGAGCCTCTAATTCATAAACTCTGAGCTTCTCTAATTTCAACGTGTTTACACTGGATCACAAATGGTATCCAAGAACTCCTACATGCTGCAGACTTAATGCATCACCTATCCTGCCAGAGATTTAATTAATTTAGTTATATTATTCACATATTTATATATTTTGATTTATCAGTTTTATAATTTGTATATTGTGTTAAAATGTAATGATAGAATAGTTTTTAACAACCTACCAGATGCTCACCAAACTCCTTTCCCTGGGGTAGAACCACATACCAATCCAAAGTCCCAGGTTTGCACTCAATTTCCTTACCTGCACTCATTCTGCCCTCCATAAATTTTTAAAAACATAGGCTCAGCATTTTCTAACCACATCTACTTAATAAAAGATTTAAGAAGTATTTTTTAAAAATTAATCCACAGATGCTCTTCTTTCTAGAAGTGGAGACTGAATTCATATTCTTTAACATATATTTTTAAAAATCACAATTTTGTCAATAAGAACAAATTAACTTTCACACTTTTAAGTCCCTTTTCTGATGGATATTAGCAACTTAAACGTAGCTGCTTTTTCTTAAAATAATTTAGTCACAGTGGAGACTAGTAACAATTTGATATTATCACTATAATTTGTACTCTAGAATGATTGGTAGGGAGATCATATTAGCTTTGGAATAGTAGTCAGTAGATTTAAATTGACTATCGTTTACTTCAAATAAATGTTAGTTTTTCTTGGGGGAAGATTTGTGGTACAAACCAAAGTAACCAGATTTAATCTACAAACAAAAGTGAACAGCATTTGTTTCACCTGTATATTAACAAAAGATGGCGTAAGAATACCTTTAATGAAAAAGTGCTTCATTTGTATTTTGATTGTACTTGAATACAAACTATGAAGTGTCATTACTATGAAGTGCTCAAAAATAAAATTCAAATTAAAAGGTTACCTCTTCTATCTGTATCCTTTTAGCAAGCTCATCCAAGGAAAATGAACTGTCATTCAACTGCAATAACTCATCAGTATCATTTTTCTGACTAGATGAGACAATGTCCCGTATAGAGCTGCAGAATGCTTCAACATGCTCATCCTCCCCCCATTTCTCTGAAACCTCATAGGATATCCAATTCTCACTAAGTGCAGCACTGCACTGAATTTCCTCCTCCGCTTTTGAGGCTGCTTTTTCTGACATTTGTTCACATTCATTTATTTCATTCAAAACATCAGTCTGGCTTTGCTTTGTTGCTTGGTCGTCTATCCTCGTACTTCCTTCTGAATGACCAGATGTAGTCTCCTTATTTACACAATCACTGGAATCACTTTCAACATGTTTTTGAAATGCATGATTGCTTTGTTTGGACACAGCCAGGCCATCTGCAATGAATTCAATAGTTTTGTTCCAATCCAACAACCGCGTTTGCACATTTTCCTCAGTAGCTTTGCCAGCAAATTTCAAATCATGATGTAGATTTTCAGTTTCCTCTGCAGGGATTAACGGACTAGTGTCTATAACAACTCCGGTCTCTGAGAAACCCTCTGTCTTGATTTGTTGTGCAGCAGTTACAATGTCCTTGCAAGGCATAGTAGCACATGGCTGAAAGCAGCTTTTATCCATCTCAGTGTTTTCAGAGTACAAATGTTGTGTCTCAAAGTGCATCGCGCCCTTTGCTCTTTCTGCTTCTACTTGTTCTTCCAATGATGATTCAGCATAGTACATTGCAGAGTCTCTCTCAATGCTTTTATCCGCTGTTAATGCAATCTGTACAGATGCAAGAGAGTCTTTTTCCCTGTCTATCGTGACTTCCAATGATGCATCTTCATATTTTGCACTTTGGTCTCTTGATATAGCTATAGGCCAGTCTGCAAAACCTAAAAACAGGGGAGAGAAATACACTTTCCATGAACAATTTAAGATATTTCCTGCAGACCCCTTTAAAAATTGATATACTTCAACTTTGGATTGCTGAGTGAAATCCCATCTGCCAATCCTGGCTCTGTTCCACTCAGTAAGCAGGCAGAAGCAACATTAAGTTTTAATGGATTTTCATACGTTATCTATTCAGGATCAGGGAAACAGTCACATGATCAAGATTGATATACACTTAGTGATAATTACCTATTCACAATGAATTCACCAGACCCACCAAAAATGCCAATAATTAGATGAAAAATAAATTTACTGTACTTCATGAGCCTTGAATGGAATAATTTCAGTATTCAGTTCAGCTAGAATTGCAAGATCAGCACCAATCAGTGACCAGAAAAGATGCCCAACACTTAGCATGAACTGGCAATTAATGTTCAAAATTTTAAACACTAAACTAATACGTAGGGCATTCAAATGGAAAAACAGAATGCAATTAATCATTCTGAAATAAAAAAAGGAGGCCATAGAGCTAAATAATTTCTCATATTTCTTAAAAGAATGCGATTGATCAGACAGCACTTTGTTTCTGGCACATCTTTCACTGTCTTCCCAGATCAAGCAAATGTCATCAAGATACAATTCATTGATTTTTTTGTTAGGTGTTAATTTACTGGCATCAAATTACAATATCTATTTAACATGTGCTATATCTAAATTATCAGAGTACGAACTCATGCAACTGAACACTTTGGTAAACCTAAAAAAATTGGCACATAATAAACAGGCTTCCCTATGGAAGATTCATGACACATGATCTGGCAACATGGAAAAAAAAACAATGATTATAATTTAGTGAGATTTTATAATTGCCTCCTCCTTTGGTCAGAAGCCTGACAACACAGTCACAAAATGAGGTTGAAAGATAGCATGCATGTGGAATCCCAGCTCAGAATTATGTTGAAAATGGAGATCGATGGTATGATACAAGATATAACCCATTATCAGTTGAAATAAAAAAAAACAAATGGACTTTGGTTTCAGCTCTGTGAAGATCATTTTTCTTTTTAAAAAAGGTCAGAAAGTCATTTAGAAGTTACACAAATACATCACTTCCACAAAGCATGCAATTCAGTTAAGTGTTCAGCTGGATACCTGTGATGTTAATTAAAGAACTGTTTAAACTCCTGAGTTTATGATAGACTGATAACATAAATGATACCACTAGTTGCGCTTTGATTTCCGTTCAGAAGAGAAATTTTCTCCCAGTAGAATTAAGTCTTCAGTTTAGGAAAAAAGGTTTCATTTGAGCAAAAGGGTTTTAGTTTGTGAAATTCTAAGCTATGACCAAGTTGCCAGAACTGAAAAGAGGTTTGGGTTATCAGACTAGAAAGTTGTGAAATTGCTGAAGAAGTCCAAGGAGGAAAACTGGAAATAGTTAGTTAAGCAGGAAATTAAAGATTTGAGATAGAGTGATATTTCTTGGGATTGAATATTTGTGAATTGTTTTGCTGGGATACAGATTGAAATTTGTTTTGGCTTCTTTCTAAACTATCTTACATATGTCGTTTTTAAAAAAAATCTTGCACAAGAAACTTGTGCTTTTGCGTTAAAGAACATGGCAGCCTTGTGTAAATATAAATCTCTAACCACCCATCGTAACCAACTGTAAAAACTAAAAACTTGTGATCTCTCAAGCCAGGTTTCACTCTTTGATCTGAAATGTCCAGTATTTCCTTCAGTTGAGATCATAAATGTTTTCCAGATACTAATGACATCAAGGAATATGGGGATAACACAGGAAAATGGCATTGAGGTAGATAATCAGTCATGATCCAGAATGGCAACATAGGCTCAAGGTGTTGAATAGTCTACTCCTACTTCTACTTCTATGTAATCCCATAAGAGAAAGTAACCTCACATAAGATAGGCTCGACACATTATGTGTCCCTGCCACAAGATTCTTTTATTGAACTAATCTGCAAGAAAAGCAAAACATAAAGGGCAGCATGGTGGCTCAGTGGTTAGCACTGCTGCCTCATAGCACCAGGGATCTGGGTTCAATTCCAGTCTTGGGCGACTGTGCAAATTCTACACAGACAGACAATCTCCCAGTATCTGCGTGGGTTTTCTCCGGGTGCTCCAGTTTCCTCCCACAGTGCGAAGATGTGTAGGTTAGGTGGACTGGCCATGCTCATTTGCCCACACAGCGTCCAAAGATTTGCAGGCTAGGTGGATTAGCTACAGGAAATGCAGGGTTACAGGGAGAGGGTGGAATGCTCTTCAGAGGTGCAGTGTGGACTCGATGGGCTGAATGGCCTGCTTCTACACTGTAGGGATTCTATGATATCCAATAGTAAATGTTTAATGGTATCCAAGAATGTTGGAATCAAAATAAATGAACCAAATAGGGAGCTTTTATTATAAGATAACTTCAAGTACAAGCTACAACTTCTAAATTTTGTTTATGTTGTTAGAAGTTAGGTGGTCACAACTAAGTGGGTTCAACTGGCCACAAGTGGTTTGGACAGCAACAGAAAATAAGCCAGACATTTCAACTGAAGTAAATCGGAGAATGAAAGATCTTAGAATTTGTGCAAGCTACAGAGGGATAAATTCTAGAAAATAAGTTATAATAGCATTTCCTTATTTTAAAGGAGAGTAATAATATATAAATGTTATGTAGTGGATCTCCAATAAGGGACACTCTAACCTTCATCCCTTGACACTGGCGTTACCAACACTGAATTGCTCACAATCAACATCCATTGAGCAGAAACTGACTGGAATAGCTATGCAAATGCACTGACTACAAGAGCACGTCCGAGGCTAGGAATACTGAGCGAGTTACATGCCTCCTGACTCCCAAAGACTGTCCATCAACTACATGGCACAAGTCAGGTGTGTGGTGGAATATGCTCCACTTGCCTGGATGAGTGCAGCTCCAGCAACACTCAAGAAGCCTGACATCATCCAGGACATAGCAGCCCGCTTCAATCCACAAACATCTAGTTCCTCCATCGCCTACACTCAGTAGCAGCAGTGTGTACCATCTACAAGATACACTGCTGAAATATGTCAAAGTTCCTCAGACTGCACCTTCCAAACCTATAACCATTCCTATATAGAAGGACAAGGGAAGCAAATATATGGGCACATCACCATCTCCAAGTTCCCTTCCAAGCCACTCACCAAGCTGACATGGAAACGTACTGTCAATCCTTCATTGTCACTGGGTCAAAACCCTAGGATTCCCTGATGGCATTGTAGGCCTACCTACAGCACATGGACTACAGTGACTCAAGAAGGCAGCTCATCACCACCTTAAGAGCAGTTAGGATGGGCAATAAATGCTGGCCCAGCCAGTGACACCCACGTTCCATGAGTGAATAGATTATTTTTAAAAAAGCCATGACCTAATGCAACACCACAATGTTAAGATCAAAATCATTTTCCTCCCTTTTATTTCATTAAGTTCCTAATCCCACCTCTTCAATATTGTATTCCGATGTGAAATATTGAAACTTATCCTTCCATTATATTTAGATAACAGAATATGATAGCAGAAATCACCAAAGTTACCAAAGGCATGCTGTCACATCTCCATGTTAATGCAATGGCTTCTGATAATGCAAAAATCATAATCAAACACTGGAAACAGTGAAACCTCAAATCAAAGTCTTGAAAGCTGCTATATAACTGTCAGTCTTTGTTACTTTTGCACCAGCCACACAAGCAGCATCTTTCAACACCCATCTGAATTCACCAACAGGACATTGTTTCTTGCATTGGAACAGCAATTCAATGATCCCAACACTCTAACAATTATTAGAGTTCATGATTATTTTTTAAGAAGTCCCAAAACACAATTTTAAGATAAAATAAAAAGGAGTCCTGTGGTGTGTTCTGAAGTCCTTCTGACATGAAGCCCAAGTGTTTGTTAAGAGATCAAAGGAAGAATCAGATGGTTCTTTCGGGAAGGTGATGCAAGGTATTTACACTTGGAGGCAATGGCAGCAGCCTGTGTAGGAACAGTGGAGAGTCTCTCCAGAATCCCAGCAAAGATTTGAGAAAGATTTTTTTTCTGAAGGGTCTAGGCCCAAAACTGCTCCTCTGATGCTGCTTGACCTGCTGTGTTCATCCAGCTCTACACCTTGTTATCTCTTTATCAAAGATTTGAGAATATCTGGTTGTAAACATCCGTGCTTTAAAATGTCCACTTAGTTCCAAGATTCATCAGGTGCGCTCTCAAGAATAACTAATTAGCTTTCTACCTAGGTACAAGACGCTCATGATTCATGTTCCCATGTGGAAGAATGCAATGAAAGCTATCATAAAGATCAGGTTACAGTATCACCAAATATCACTGACAGTGTTTTGAGTCTGCTTGGATATGACAGAAAGGCAGCAGCTAGAAGCCAAAAATGTTTCTATGATAAGTTGCACATGAAGGGGATGGATACACTTGCTCAGATTGAAGAGATCAAATTTCAAGATGTAATTTCTTAATGAAAAGAACTTAGTTTACGAGGTTATCTTGCCCGCCAGCATTCACTGAAACTTGAAAATAGCTCATTAATAGCACAGAAATATGCTTGTATAAATATTTTTCCTAACCTTCACATGTTAAAAATATACCATTAGCAAAACCCCTGTTCAAAACCTCAGTTGTCTCTGGTGATAACAAAAATCATAGTCTTTGTTTAAGTATATAATTGACAGTTTACAATGTTGCAGTCCTATGAGAGGTTAGACCAGAGGGAGAAATTAAAAATAGATTCAATTCTGAATCAACGAAACTGTTTATCCTTAATTACAAAACATTGTAACTTCTACAAGTCCATAACTACCTATCAAGATCCATGCAACATATTTTAACAATGGAGTACAAATCTCAACAATTCACACAGTGAATATTAAAGAGCAGTTAACACGTTTTGACTACTGTCTATATTCAATAACAAAGGTGCACTTGTACGAACTTAGCCATAATCCTCAATCCTTCACTGAAAAAAGGCAATTTGAGTGTGAATTAACAGTTTCAATCGTGCACACTTACTTGAGTTGCATTCCACAGTATCTTTCCTGTCACCATGTTCTCCCTAGAAGGGGAAATAATATTCATTTTTGTGGAAACATTTTGCTAACACAGAAATCTTAAAACATGAAACAATTCTTCAGCTTACACCAGAAATTACATTAATTTGTCAGTACAGCAACTATTCTACAAAGCAAATCTTCAAATAGTTTTTGGGGCCTCTACTGAAGCTTAACACACATTTAGGAATGTATGCTAACCAAGCAACTGAAAAGTCAGCATCTGGGTATGTCCTCTATTTCCTTGACATTTTTTCCCCAAAGCACATAATCCAATTAGAGGCATCAGAATGCTTAGGTTCATTACAGTGCATTATATTCCTGGATACTGCCAAATACAGTAGTTGCTGAGTCGATGAAAATTTGAAAACTAACGTTGATTTTTGTTGAGCAAAGCCGTCAAGGAATATGGAACAATGGTGAGTTAATGGAGTTTAGCTGTGTCAGCCTTGACCAACAGAACAGACTTGAAGAGCTGGATAACCCAGTTCCAAATGCATTGAACACTTCACAATATTTAAACTTCTAACATCCAGACCAGACACAGCAATTTGTATCAACATCACAGCTATGTTATAGATTTAATGATAACATACAAACTCCACTATTTGGGGAGGAGAATTCCAAAGATTCAAAACTGAGAAAAACTTTCTTCTCGTCTGTTTTAAATGGCCACCCCTTATTCCTACACAATAGTCTCAAGTTCTGGATTCTCCCGTGAGAGGAGACATCCTTTTTGACATCATCCTTTCAACACTCGTCAGGATCTGATAGGTTTCAATCATTCAATCAAGTAACTTCTCACTCTTCTAACTCTAGTGGATATAAGCCTTACTTTCTCTCATCAGGCAATACCTACCACTCCTCCCCACAACACTCATTCCAGGTATTAGCCTAGTAAACTTTCTTTGAATTGTTTCTAACATATGTACATCCTTCTTTAACTAAAGAAAGCAATACTCTACACCGTACTCAAAATGTGGTTTCACCAATGTCAACTAAAACCTCCCGTGCAGAATTCATTGAAAGGGGAATTGAATACAAACATTCAATTAGTGTTCCAAGTTACTCGCTCTCCTGGTAAACTAACCTTTTTGGGACCAACGTACTGGGACATCCAGATTCCTCTGCATCTCCAAGCCCTGTAATCTCTCACCACTGAGACAACATACTCTTTTTTTTAATCTTCCTACCAAAATGGACAATTTCGCATTTTCCCACATTATACTCCATATGCCAGATCTTTGCCCTCTTAACCTCTCACTCTGGAAAGTCCTTTGGTCTTCTTCACCAATAACTTATCTTACCTACCTATCTTTGTGTCATCTACAAATCTAGCAACCATACCTTTAGTCCCTTCATCAAACTCATTTAAATAGACTGTGAACAGTTGAGGCCCCAGGACTGGTCCCTGTGGAACACCATTAATTACATCTTGCCAACCAGAAAATGACCCATTTATGCCTCTCTTGTTTACTGTTCATTAACCAAACTTTTATCTATGCCAGTATGTTACCTAAAAGACCTTTCACACAACCAAGCTGATTCTAAGTATCGGAAATTTTTCAAGGTGACCTGCTATAACATCTTCAGTGTTAGCTTGTAACATTTCTCCATGACAGATGATAAGCTCATAAGCCTGCAGTTCCCTGCTTTCTGGCCATCTCAATATTCAATATTCTGCAAACTAATGAAATCTCCCTCAAATATAGGAAGTTTTGGAAAATTAGAATCAATGTATCAACTATCTCACAAGCCACTTCTTTTAAGACCCTACAAACATTTCAATTTGTTCCACGTTAATTAAAACTAGGAAGCAGTAATGAATAGATCTGAACTGGATTCAAATCAAAACCTAGAGATTTGTCAAAATTTGGCCCAATGTTCACTGAATGGATTACATTGCATTATATATAAAACTAATGTTCTTCATACAGTAAGTTCTACAGTACCCTTCACATGCAACCAATTGACTCAAAGCACTTTACAGGTAGTGAACAAAAGAAGGTCAGAATGAGAAGGATAAGGAAGCAAGGGTAGAAGAAATAAGCTAGAATACACAACTGAAGACCTTCAGTGTCGATGTGGAAATCATAAGGCCAAGTTTGGGGAAGGTAGTGGATATTTGTCATCAAGGACAAGGAGATTAAAACCCTTCATCAGAAGTTCAAAGAACTGCAGCATTCATGTTATTTCCAAAAGTCAATACATAACAGTAATTGGCTTTTAACTTAACAGATCTGATCTGATGTCCTCGTTTTTCAAGGACCGCAACTTCCCCCCCTCAGTGGTCGAGAACGCCCTCCACCGTGTCTCCCGCATTTCCCGCAACTCATCCCTCACACACACTTCCCGCAATAACAACCAAAAAAGAATCCCCCTCGTCCTCATGTACCACCCCACCAACCTCCGGATCCAACGCATCATCCTCCGACACTTCCGCCATCTGCAATCCGACCCCACCACCAAAGACATTTTTCCCTCCCCACCCTTGTCTGCTTTCTGGAGGGATCACTCTCTCCGTGACTCCCTTGTCCGCTCCACCCTCCCCTCCAGCCCCACCACACCCAGCACGTTTCCGTGCAACTGCAGGAAGTGCTACACCTACCCCAACACCTCCCCCCTCACCCCCATCCCAGGCCCCAAGAAGACTTTACACATCAAGCAGAAGTTCACCTGCACATCTGCTAATGTGGTATACTACATCCGCTGTTCCCGTTGTGGCCTCCTCTACATCAGGGAAACCAAGCGGAAGCTTGGGGACCGCTTTGCAGAACACCTACCCTCGGTTCACACTAAACAACTGCACCTCCCAGTCGTGAACCATTTCAACTCCCCCTCCCATTCCTCAGACGACATGTCCATCCTGGGCCTTCTGCAGTGCCACAATGATGCCACCCGAAGGTTGCAGGAACAGCAACTCATATTCCGCTTGGGAACCCTGCAGCCCAATGGTATCAATGTGGATTTCGCAAGCTTCAAAATCTCCCCTCCCCCTACCGCATCCCAAAACCAGCCCAGCTCATCCCCGCCTCCCTAACCTGTCCTACCTCCCACCTATCCCCTCCTCCCACCTCAAGCCCCACCCCCAT